TACTCGGTGTTCGAATTGATTTCGATGCCACTATTGTCGTGTATTGAATTTGGTTTGTTACGTTCATTGCGGAAAATGGAATTTGTTGAGTTAATTCTGGTTGATATTTTCTTTCAAAACAATACCGTGTCGTCTTATGACCTGCAAATGTCAGTTATTTATTTACTCTACAAGTTTTAGATTTACTAAATTTGATATTTCATAATTACTGAAATCTCTAGTTATCTGGTATTGTTTTATGTCAATGTTTTGAAATAAGAGGGACTATGACATATTGTAGTTACACGAATACATTTATTTAAAGATTTTATTACACGAATATTTATATGCAATAATTATTTTTTTTAATGTGGAAAGTTGCCAAACGAGCAGGCGGTTCACCTGATGTTAAGTGAATACTGCCGCCCATGGACATCTGTTACACCCGAGGGCTGCAGGTGCCTTGATAACCTTTTGGAAATTGGGCTCCGGCTACGTCACTCACCAGATGAAACGTGAAAGTTCCATTTCACGCCGGTCTTCTGTGTGGTCTGTGAGGTCGTGGTACTTACCCGGACGAGCCCGCCCATTAGTGCAACAGCCAAGGCTGCTGCGTGGCCCAACCACAATCAAAATTTTCCCACATATTTATCACCATAGGATTTATCCGCTCCAATTTTGCATTGTTTATTCTTTCATTCGATTAATGAGCACGTAATTGTGCTATTTTGTTATAGAACTACTACCAATTCTATTGCTAACAAGTTAAACTTTTTTAGTCCCAAAACACAAGCTGGACTTAAAGAATCTCAATCACTATACATTTTTATTTGATTCTGAGAAGTGCCCCGAAGTATTTCCAAAGTCCAAGGTCCGATACAAATAAAATGAACATGGAAGCACATGAAAGCTTAACAAACCCAATATTCAAAAGGTTGTCAACGCATCTCTAACCCTCGGGTGTAGCAGATGTCCATGGGCGGCGGTATTCACCTGATGCTAGGTGAACCGCCTGCTCGTTTGGCAACTTTCACATTAAAAAAAAAATGCTAAAAACTTGAGATCGGCACGTACAAACAAATAGAGAACCTTCTTCTTTTTAAAATTCGGATAAAGAATTTAGATTAACGATTCAACTCATTCAGTTTAATCGATATATAAATTATTTAATCGTTTTAATATTTTAAATTTAATGAGTTTAATATTTTAATATCTTTTTATATTAAGATTTTTAATATTATTTAAGATTTTCAATTTGATCTGGTTAATATTTTAAATTTAACCAGGCTAATATTTTCAATTTAATCCGTTTAGAATTTTCTAGCGGATGGCGTGTCCTTTTTCGTTTACGCTCCGTTTAAAAGACAGCTCCGAACGTCTACGGCGCTACGATCGCATGTTAATGCTCGCAAACTTCATCGTAGCTAACTCGTAATGGCAGTTTACAGGCAATGTTCCCCAGCGCTTTATGACACCACGCTCTAATTTAATCGCGCCAAGCATTATTACACTAACAAGTTACCTTACCTTTTGCGCCCTTTTCTTATAAACGCAACTGACTTATTTTTATGTAATGAAGTATAATTTATATGAATTAGCGTAAAGGTTGGAATAAGATATCTATATATCCTAATAAATGGTTTATCAGTCTGTTGCTAAATTAAAAAAAATTGTAAAGGAAGGTTTGTGTGTTAAAGGCTAGTAGTAGTGATTATTTGAATGATAACACACTCTGGAAATGAAGTGATCGCTCCAGGCTCTCTTTCTAGCTAGTGGAATTTCATAAATTGTACTCATGTTTGTTATTTTTTTGTCAAATAACGCCAAAAAGACAAAAATGTCCCGCTAAGTTTCTTTCGCCGGTTCTTCTCAGGTCAGTGGTAGTGTTTTTTGACAATCAATAATTAAGTGTGATGCCTCCATATTGAATAAAGATATTTGAATTTAATTTATCATTTCACCACTTTGCTTGTTAAAACCTAAATAAAAAAGAAATTAATTTAAAATTTATGCTGTTCTTACTGTGCTCTTAACTTTTATATATAAGTAATAAAATAACAAAGCTTATAGAAGACGTTCAACGACTCAAATCGATAAATCATTTGTAGTATTTTTTTTTAAAGAACACTGCCCATAAATCAGAATAACATACACAATTTTCTCTTGGACAAAAAACCAAATCCGAATCAATTATCTGTAGGTCACACAAATAGTTGTCCCGTGTGGGAATCGATGCCACGACCCCCGGCACCGGAGCCAATACTTTAGCAACTCCGCCACGAAGTCATAGTAATCAATAAACTCCAAAAATAACTGTTAACTACATATTTACATAAATTAGTATATTAAAACTCAAAAGTTTCTACGAATATTTCGTCTAAAATTCTTTATTAGAATTTCAATTTTTGTACATATTTTGTTCTCCGTGTAAATCATACAGGAATACGGCAAGCTTAAGCGCACAGTATCGTTCCATACTGAAAGTCCTACCTCATATTGTCGGTTAACAAAAGTGTAAGCAAAGAAGCAAACAACTCCCGTTGAGGGATTGCGTTTAATTTTTATTACCTGTGGGGTAACGGAACACTCGTAATCTAGAGATGGGACGGTGACAACTAAATTAAACGGAATCGTATTGATTTAACAATAGTAATAATTTCTTATATTTACCCAAAAGTTTCAAAAACGATTATAACTGTTTGACTCTATCTTACTAAGCGCCGGAAGTCGTGGTTTCGATTACCACACGGGGCAAGAATTTGGTTTAATACACGGATAATTAGTCGGGATCTGGGTGTTTCTTTCCAAGGGAGATTAGTGTCAGGCGCCTTATAGTTTGAAAAACTTTTTCTATAAACTTCCTGTATTTGTTTTAAAATATTACAGATATAAATCAAATAAAACAATTTTCAGGAAACTGCGTTTACAAATCGTGGACGCCGAGTATTGATTACTAAAAAACACCGTAGTTGAATATCTTAAATATAAATTGAGTCACAACTTCTCATATATCTAACTACTTGTTAACAATCGATAATAATCGAAATCAAAGTGTTCGTTCCGTTATTTTTTTTCGATTTCAATCACGCCTCCTATACATATCTTCACAGATCATATTTACCGCGGCAGTGCTAACTGGAATGTATAAGACAAAAAAAAATAAAGTTTCATTTCGATGTATGCTGAACTCTAAGTCGCAACACTAGTACCAGCCGGTCGCGTGTCAACATGTCACTTATTAGCCCCAAACACGGCGGCCGCTCGTTTCATGCTCGCGAACGAAATTTTTACTTTATTAATAACCAAAGCGCTCATGTTTGGCTTCTATAATTAGATTTCCGAACTGATTTAAATTTGTGCGTTACACGTGCACAGCCGCCTTATCGGCCGCTTTCCGGCGTCGCTCTCTAGTATTTTAACGGACCCTAATTAGGTCGGATTATCAAGATTCGAGTGAATTCTGAGCGTGGTTTCTCTTTACGCTTTAATTTAAATTTTTTCTTACTCCGGCAATTTTTTCAGCATGTTTTTTTCGCTTTCACTTGCGAAAACACACGCAAAAAAAGCGAAAACTTTTTTTAAAACCTTTGCCCTTACTTGTTGCGGATGCAGATAGTGTTATCCACTAGCTGCTACCCGCAACCACGTCTGCGTAGAATAGGCTGAAGGCGTAACATTCACAAAAAGACAAATAATCATAAAACATGTATATAACTTATAGCCTATGTCTTATTCTTATGTACAAGCTATATTATTGTAAAGTTTCATTAAAATCCATTCATACATATAACTTTCACGTTTATAATAAGTAGGATATATAGTAAGGATTATCCTATGTTGTAAGGAGGTTTTATAAACATAAATTTCACGTGGACAAACACCTAGATGTAAAAAAATTATCTGTGGATCACATCAATAGTTTTCCTGTGTGGAAATCGAAGCCACGGGCCCTGACGCCGATGCCAATACCTTGGCAACTGAATCATCACTGCATATTGGCGCGCATATATGTATTAAAGGATTTATCCTATCGTTAAAGTCACTTCGTGTTTGATATTTAGTTTAGTTTTGTATTTTTTGTACAGTTATTTATTGTCTTTACGATGTTCTCTTGAATGGTACAAACCATTTGTTTACAAGCTGGAAATGGTTCGACAATTATAAAATCAAAATTAAAACGCAGTACAATCCGTGAAGTAGTTCATTTATTACCCATTTGTTTTTATTAAAACCCGGCGAACTGTGAACGGGTTTTTCAATGCCCACTGCAGGCACCCGTGATCGCAACACAGATGTTAAATTTTTTTTTAATATGAGAAAGTGGCAAACGAAATGGCCGTTCACCTGACGTTAAGTGATAACCGCCCGCCCATGGACAGTTGCAACACCCTTGGGGCTGCAGATGCGTTTCCACCTCTTAATAAAGTGGGCCCCGGCTACTTCACACACCAGACGAAACACGGAAGTGCAACTTCTACATCGCACCGGTCTTCTGTGAAGTCGTGGTACTAACCCAGAAGAACCTGCCCATTCGTGCAACAGAGACACTAATCATAAAATCATGTGTGCAAATCCCCGTGCCTTCGAATAGATAAACTAATAACATCAGAACAGCAAGTAGTTTTCTAATATCTTATGTGTAAATATCTTTATAATATAGCAACGGAGCCTTAGTCTTAAATACTGCCCTTACTTTAGGATAATATTATCCTGTGTTGTAAAGGACGTTTTACAAACATAAATTTCACGCGGACAAACACCCAGATGCGAAACAACTATCTGTGGGTCACACAAATAGTTGTCCCGTGTGGGAATCGAACCCACGACCCCCAACGCCGAAGCCAATACCTTGGCAACTGCGCCACGGAGTCATCCATCATTTTATAATTAACTTTGTCTAGCAAGGGTCAAAGACTTGACAGCTCGCTATTATTTTGATACCATTGAATGTCTCAATGTCCTCGCACTGCATTTAAAACAAAAGTACCCTTTGTTTTGTACTCCCAAAAAGCTTACGTCAAATGTTCGAGGGTGATACGGACAAAGTAAGTCAGCGTGTTTAGGCATGGTATCAGGTGGTACCAGAGCGTTTAAGGGACACCCCATTAAAACATGTTTAAAATGTTATAGAAACCTTTTATTATTCATATGTAGTTGGCGTTAAAATTTTCTTTATTTTTAACCGACTTCAAAAGGAGGGTCTCAATTCGACTGTTTTTTTTTTTATTTTGTTACCTCATAACTTTTGGCCGAGGGAACCGATTCTGATGACTCTTTTTTTATTTGAAATCTGGTGCTTCCCATGTGGTCACATAATTTCAAAGGCTCCGGAGACACTTAATCAATTATATAAAGAATACAGAGCGAGATATTTGAAGTCGATTTTGTTTTTCGTCAGTAAAAAAATGGTTATTATATGAAAAGTTGGCCAGTGAGCTGGTGGTTAACTTGAATTTAAGTCATTACTTTGAACCATGAACATTTTTATCACCTGACGGATTGTGCATGCGTTGCCCACTATTAAGAAAGTTAACGCAAGAGTCTCCGCTGTTACACGAATGAGCAGGTCCGTCCAGGGAATTACAAACTCGCAGAAGATGGGCGTGAAATGGGAGTGTTTAGCATTTTGAGTGAGGTAACCAGGGCCCCCTGTTTTAAATGATGTCAATCAATCTGCAAGCTTAACATAAGGTGAACCGCCTGCTCAATTAATTTTATATAAACAAGTCTGTTTTTATTAACGAAAAGCAAAACCGACTTAAAATATCTCGCTCCTTATTCATTTTATAATTGATTTTTAGAAATTCCCTAAGTATCTCCAGAGCTCAAGATTCAATACCAATGAAATTAATATGGGACCAGATGGGAAGCACCAGCTTTCAAATAAAAAAATAATTATCAAAATCGGTTTACTTGATCGAAAAGTTCTGAGGTAACAAACATAAAAAAAACAGTCGTAGTGAGAACTTCCTCCTTTTGAAGTCGGATAAAATTAAGAAAAAGAAACTCACTCACGAAACCTTCGATTCCAAACTTCATCGCATCCCAATTCCACGAAATATTTATTATCTTCGGCAGAAAAACCATCGAGCCTCGCATGTTACCAGCCTACCGTCTCCCGAGCCAAATCGAAGCGATCACGCGACGTTCGCGTATTGCTTCCTCTCTGCCCCCCCCCCCCCCCCCCCCCCCGAATATATCATTTCACACTGCAATTTGACACCATATTCAAAACATACATCACTAACTGCCACACGACTTTCGACCTTTCGCCTGTCGGGCGGGACGGTTCACATTTCGATGGTAATGAAACGGTGGGGTGCATGGCACGATGATGGTACATTTATGTGATTGAGCTCGCGTTTCAAGCTTTACTGTATTCAAAGTTAGCATCGTTTTGTTATGTCTGGCCTCACAAACCGTTTAGTGACGTGTTCTCCTTGATTTATCGTCATCGTGCAATGTTCATGGTTTTACTGCTACCCCCCTCTCGTAAAGTTTGATGCTCTAATAAATGGCGTCGCATCAATTACTGCCAACTCAGTACGGGCGTGTTCACTTCGTTAATCTGTTAAGTTGACTGTTGTTCGACAATTTGCCGGTTCGTGATAGTTATTGTTATGCGCCGGCGGTTCGCACGCTTGTTATTCTTCAAAACGCATTTTGACGGCTACGGATGGGTAGAATCGACGCCTGTTAGGCTGACAATATTCTGATACAAAGACAATAGATACACCTATCAGTTTTGACTCAGGTTTATTATCTTATTCAACGCTGTAAGCTTATTTAAACATGGTAATTAAAAACTTATTAATGCCAGTCAATATTCATCATTCAATCAGAAATTTCACCTAACTTCCTTCCACAGGTATGGTTCCAGAACAGACGCGCAAAATGGCGGCGGCAGGAAAAAATGGAAGCGGCGCGGCTCGGATTGGCAGAGTACGGAGCTCCCGTCCCACGTCTGGGCCTTGGACTTCCAGTGGACCCGTGGCTGGCGCCACCTCTCCTCTCCGCACTGCCTGGTAACTCCCTTCTTGGTTATTAAGGGAAATCCCCGAAACGTACTCTGCCTCTGGGCATGAAGAGGGTGAAATGGGACACCTTCTGTTATCGCTTAGGATCTGCGCGGTAGCAGAAGGCGTAAAGTTAAGAATATTTTTAGTTCTTCTCTTAGTCTCTTTTGCGGAAAAGCAGAGCCACACCCTCGCGTTGCCATCACTTGCCGACAACATTGTACGTGTCGCGGTCAACCGGTGGATGCAAATGGTACAGTGACTTTCGTTATGTCATCATAACGGGGCCTATGTTCAACAGAGATATCTTGACAATGATGATGATGACAATGAATTTAAAATAGACAAGAATAACTTGGTTAATTTAATAGCTGGTTAGCTCAGATGTCAAATCATGGGCTTCAACGCCACGGATCGTCCTCTCCTAACCATTGTTGTGTATTTTTATAACGATTAACTATCGAATAATCGTTTTGAATTTTGTTGCTGATTTTTTTAAACGCCTATGCAATGTAAGACGACGTTAAGGATAAAGTAGGAACTCTACATCTACATCATTATACTAGCAAAAATTATGCCAAAACTTCGTTAACTGTGTAACTGACCTGTTTCAGGCTTCCTGAGCCATCCGCCCTCTGGCTACCCCAGCTACCTGACGCCCCCCGCGCCCCCTGCACCCTCCCCCGCGCCCGACCCGCGCTCTTCCTCCATAGCGGCGCTCCGGATGAAAGCGAAAGAACACGTGGAGTCGATAAGCAAAGGCATGCAAATGGTCTAGAGTAAAATCAAAGGAGACCACGGCCTGATGCAATTTAAACTATTTATCTTTACGCAGTATAAGCAACCTTGACAGATCATTTCAGTCTAACAATGAAACGGGAGTCTGTGTATTGAGTCCGTTACCGATTTTGTTGCTAAAGTCTTGATGCATATTCATACAAGATGACCGTACATATAACAATATCTAAACGGTGATAGAATTAAATCAGCATTGATTGGTAGTTGTACCTATCTACTCCTTCGCAATATTTAAAGCAAGCGTTTTTGATAGGTACTTAAAATTGTGAATACGCTGGAAGTTACTGTAGTTACAGTTTGTAATCATAAGAAAAGGGTTTTACTGTATATGAGTTTGTGTTATCTTGATCTAAATGAATAACTTCATTCACACAGAGTTGTAAATTTTTGAGTTCGAAGCAAAAAGAATTATAATTTATAGAAATTGTGTGTATACCTTCCCGCCTGCTGAAAGAAAATGCTTTAATTTAGTGTATTTGTAGTGTACAACCAAATTAAATTCAAGTTCGAATCCCACACGGGGGAAGTATTTGTGTACAAAGAATGTTCTGAGTCTGGGTCTTCTTCCCAAAAGCGATAACATCAAACATGCGGTCAGTCGTAAAAATATCATAGAAAAACCAGTAACAGTATGATTCACATATTATATCTACCCCACCTAGGTGGAATAAGCTCAGAAGGATTCTGATCGTGATGCTATAACTTCAATATACCCCAGCATAAAGTATACTGAAAAAATGTCAATATATCGATATTTTCTCTTCGATATACCGATACCGGTATTGAAATTTTTATAAATATCGATAAATCGATATATTTCTTCACTTTCGACATCCCTAGCACAAAGCTAGTTCAATCTATATATCTTTATCATTGTAAATCTTGTTTTAAATTACTCGTTCAAGTGTTCCTTTTTTCTTTTGCATTTTATTACAAACAATAATAGAATGCTTTTAATACTTTTTATAAGTACTTATTGATACACGACTTGAAGTGATCAAGACGCATCTAAAAATTGAAGAGATCTTAAGTTTGTAATGTAAACTATTATATAAAAGTAAATAAAAATGCTAAAATTATTTAAATATAAAATATGTAATAAATTGATATTGTGTGTAAATATTGTAAACAAATGTGTAGTTGTTAAATATTAAGAACGCAGTTATATTCTTGAGCATTGAATTGTTTTAATTTCGATTTAAATTTCAGCCTTTCCATGAATAGTTTAATATTAGTAATATGCAACTATTTTGTGCTGTGCAGATTGGAGAAAAAAAGTATAGTGAAGCCAATGAATATGTGAAATGTTTTTGTTTGATTAAATACATCGCTGTTTTATAAAGGATTGCATGTAAAGAAATAATTATTTTTAGTTATTTTTATAGTTTTATAGACATGGTTAACTAAACCAAATACGGCCTCCATTTTCATGTGTGTAAAGAGTATTATACTTATTGTGAATATTTTGAATGATTTGAATTTATATTTAAATATGTAATAAATAATGTATTGAAATTATTCGTTACCTACATATGTACGTAACAAATAATTTATGGTACATATTACCAAGTCCTATTATTTTAGAACTTAAAAAAAATTTTTTGCTAAACTTAAAAAAAGTTTGCTGCATAAAATGAAATAAAAATATGTAGTCAATATACTATTATATGATTTACTATTAATTTTTGTATATAGGCGATGTAAATAAGTGAATTATAATTAGATAATAATAATTATTACAATGGCCACAATTAAGGAATTATAAGGATGTCAGCATGGTGTGTAATGTACGATAAACATTATTATATAATTATGATACCAATGAATTCTGATTAATTTTGAAGTTGAAATCAATTTTAATTTTGCTCGTTTTAAAAAATTTGGTATGAAAAATTTTATTTGATATAAAAAGATACACTACCGCATTTTGTGTGTAAAAATTATTTATGTATTCAAATTAGTTATAATTTTGAACTATCACATTCTTACCGCACAGTTAAATTTAAATAAACCCTATTGTAATTCTTCTAAATAAGAATATGGAAAAATCTCACTTGTATATACAGACTTACTTTAATATTTATGTGTATATATGCGTGGGCATGTCTCTTCGTGCCGTAATCTCTAAAAGATAATGACTATAGATCCTTCGCAATGAGAGGTAAATAAATGTGTTCTTTCTAAAAAGGAGTTTGATTCATTGTTACTTTACTTTTCACCCTACCAGAAACTAATAAACTATACCTATAAAAAGCAGAAGGACTGGTTTTTTTTCCTGTGGTCAGCCCACGCCTCAATCTTCGCAGTTGCTCGATTGGGCATGTCCGTCCGAGGGAGTACCACGAGTGAAAGTGTCAAACTTCTGCGTTTCGTCTGATGAGTGAAGTAATCGGGGCCCACTTTATTAAAAGGTGTTGCAAATGACCATGGGTTAATTTTCACTAAGCATTAGTTAGATATATTAGGGCCGTGATAGCTCAGTGTCTGGGCGCTCGCCTTTAAATCAGTATATTTGAGCAACCTGAGTTCGATCCCCAGTGCCAGCACCAATGAAGTTTTTAACTTTAAGTGCTGACTTATCACGTGCTCCGCGGTGAAGGAAAACATCGTGAGGAAACCTGCATGTTTTCGAAATAATAACAAAAAAATATGTACATATTGTAGTGTATTGAAATATTGAAGGTAGAATAAATCAGTTAGCATCCGACCGCTGTGTTTAATTGACGTACACTTCATTGGCGACGAGGCGGGTTATTTTCAATCGACTTCATTATTGTTACGTGTGGAAAGCAATAATAAGTACAAACATGGCTTTCGGTAAAATTGAACCTTTTGATTTGTTTTCGGGACGATGGACAATCTATGTGCGCCGAGTGGAAGAATTTATTTTTTTAAACGAAATCAAGGACACGCATAAGGTCGCCACGTTGGTGACATTAGTTGGTGACCGCACTTATAATCTTATGTGTGATTTATGTGCACCGGACAGACGGAAGATAAAACTTTCGAACACTTAGTGCAAACAGTGAAAAATCATCTGGAACCCCAACGTTCAATATATGCGGAACGAGAAATATTCCGGCAGCGAAAACAAAAAGCGGCAGAATCGATTGGCGATTTTTTACAACAACTAAAACATTTGGCTTCGTCATGTAATTTTGCCCAAAATTTAGAAGAAAATTTATGTGAACAATTCGTGACTGGGTTGCGAATCACAGAGATAAAATCACGATTGCTATTTGATGCGAAATTAACATATAAAAGGGCGGTGGAGCTAGCTCTGAATTTGGAAGCCACTGAGAAACTCGTGGAACGAGTGAGCGACCGCAGCAGTTTGAGCGGTGCATGTTCTGGGGACTTCGGCGACGGCACCCCTGTAACGGGGGCGAGTGGCGGCGGTGGCAGCGGCGGTAGCAGCGGCGGGCCGGCGGGCGGCGAGGCGTTGCACGCAATGCGCGGGGCGCCGGCCACGGCAGCGCGGCCGGGTGATGCGCCCTCGCAATGTTGGAGATGTGGCAAACCACATCGTGCGGATAAGTGTCGTTTTAAGCAATACACGTGTGACCGATGTAATATGAGAGGTCATTTAAAAGTAATGTGCAAGGCGTCCAATAGTAAAACGGCTGTAAGGCGGCATAATTTTGTTGAGGAAGACCCTGTGTGTGAACTGTACAATATTCGTGCGATTTCTAGCGGAGATAAGCCTTATTTTCTTAACGTTAAAATAGGTGACGTAATGCTAAAATGTGAGTTAGACACGGGAAGTAAAATTTCGGCAATCAATGAAATTTGTTATAAGAATATGTTTTCCAACTATAAACTTTATAAAGATTATATTAAATTATGCTCGTATTCTGGCTCGCGTATTGAACCGATTGGATTTATATTAGTAAACGCGTCGATAGATGATAATTTCCAAGAGAATTTACGGTTATATATAATTAAAAATGGCAGTCGTCCTATGTTAGGCAGAAATTGGATTCAGAAGTTTAATATTAATGAGTTATGCGTTCACAATATATCACTTGATGTTCAGGAGCAGCACAATCGGTTCATTGAGGAATTAAAACATAATTATCCTAATGTTTTCACGGATAAGTTAGGTGAATGTAAAAAGCAGTTCAGTTTACAGCTGACCGATAACAAATCCGTGTTCTTACGCGCGCGGCCCGTACCGTTGGCTTTGCGGGCCGCGGTAGAGAGGGAAATCAACCGCTTAGAAAAAGAAGGTTCCATTTATCAAGTAGAGCATTCAGATTATGGTACACCGATTGTGCCTATTATTAAGTCATCCGGAGAAATTCGTATATGCGGCGACTACAAGTCTACTATAAATTCAAAATTAAAAATGGATCATTATCCACTTCCGCGAATCGAGGAATTATATACAGCTTTAAGCGGCGGCCAAGAGTTTTCAAAAACAGACCTCACGACCGCGTATATGCAAGTACCTCTCCACCCCGACTCGCAAGCGTGTACCGGGATCACTACACATGTGGGTACTTATGTATTTAGGCGCACTCCTTACGGGCTAAATTGCATTCCACAAAAGTTTCAAAAAATTATGGAGGAGACTCTTAGAGGATTACCTAATACAGTAGTTTTTTTAGATGATATTTGTGTCACAGGAAAAGATAGGGAAACGCATAAAAAAAATTTGAAAGCTGTAATTGAAAGATTGGCAGGTATGGGTCTAACTGTAAAGTTAAATAACTGTAAATTTTTACAAGAGAGTAGGATACACCTACTTAGGTTTTATTATCGATAAGCATGGCTTACATCCGGACCGGACCAAGGTTGAAGCCATTGTAAAGGCTCCAATACCGATAAATGTGACTCAATTAAAAGCTTTTTTAGGATTAGTAAATTATTATGGAAAATTTGTTCCCAATTTAAGTTTATTACTTCATCCATTATATACGCTTTTAAAGAAAGATCAGTCTTGGAATTGGAATGTGGATTGTGAACATGCATTCG